GATAGACTGTCTTTACATGAGAAATGGACCTTTTCGGTCTATTTTTTTATGCCATAATTTTGTCCTTTTTGGCCTTCAATTTTGGAATAAAAGCATTGTGTTTTGTGGTATCCAGACGACAAAAATTGAAGACATTGTCATTTCTACATTTTATGGAGAAATTCGCTATTTTATGACATAAAATGTGGCATCCAGAGGAGCCCTTACAAATCCCTCATTAGCAATATCCACTGTTGTTCTCAGAAAACACTGCATTTTGATTGTTTATATGGAACTTTGTATGCTCCCACCACTTTCTAGGGGTTAAGTGGTTAGCGATAGCGAATCACTAGCGATACAGTTAACCCCAGAGATTTAGCATCGTATGTACTCACGGGGGATAGGACGGAGTCCCAGGCGGCGGAGTGTTTTTAACAGTAAAAAGCTTGGGTACAGGTACAGTACATGGGGAAATTGCGGTACCGTACTTCGTATGTTAAAGCGATCACGATGTTAAGAGCATCAAGTGGTACATCCTCCATCTTTCTATATTTATCACCCAAATTGGATATATAATGTTTTGAGGTAAATGGTCAAAAGTTTGCCTCACGGAATTAATTCCTCTCAATAGGGAGATTTCGGAGATGAGTATTTATCTTTATCCTTAAAATAACCTCTGAAGCTTTATAGGGTTGAGGAAAACTCCGGAACTTAGTACCAGAATCCATGAAATGGGTTCATTTTGGGATTCGAATCCTCGACCATGATTGGCCAGATCTGTTGACTTGTAATTGGCCAGATCTGTTGACTTGTGATTGGCCAGATCTGTTGACTTGGTGCAACGCTTTTCTGTTGTTGGCACTTCGAATGGAGCGTGGAGGATGACCCACATGAAGTGGAGGTCAATCAGAGGCGCGGTGGGAGCGAACAAGTTAATGATAACCTCCATCGTTATGCATAGTGACGTAGAATCATCACATGTATACACTTGTAGGAACTACGAAAAGCAACTTAGGCGGCGCCCGACGCCGCAGCTTAGTCAGCCGCGCCTAGCAGTACATCCGACCGGAGTTGTACCAGCGGCTATCAACGATATCTTAAAAGCACCAGATAAGTACTAGTATAGAAGCACTCATCTGCAGCTGGCGCTTTGTCGAGGCGTGCTACTTTAGGTGCAAGCCACTCCTTGCCTTCGTAGCTACGCATTTCCGAACGTCGTACAGTTACTAGTAGTAGAACAACTAAACTAACACAATATGAGTCTCAATGAATTCAATGCTTCGTATGCCTCTGTCATCCCTACTAGTCAACGGCGAATGACCCATGGGACGACTTCACAGTGACCTCGCCGATCATCCACGAAGTCCACGAATTTGGCTCCATCTAGTCTACGGATAGGGAAAACTTGTTATCACCAAAATCGTCGATATAAAATCCCTCGCTTTTACTTTGCTTTCATTTTTTACGGAAAAAGAAAAGGAGAAGTCATCTCCGAAAT